CCCACCCCACCCATGGGTCTCACATGCTACCCTGGATTGCACCTGCTCCTGCATCCCACCTCACCTGCAGGTTACACCTGCCCCACTACTCAACCCACAGGTCATGCTTTCCCCCCATCCACCAGCAGACTCCTGACCTCTTCCAGCCTACTGGACATCCAACCCCCTGGCTAGCTGTCTCCCTTCCTGACTTAACTGATATTGGGTAGCCATTTTAAATTGATTTAACCTCCCTGTAATGCTCCTAAATGTCTGTACTTAGCCCTAAGTATAAACAAATATATGTAATGTGCTAAGGTAGTGTTTAAGGTAATGTTAAAGCAATGTAAGTGAATCCCTCTCAGAACTAGAAATTGTAACTTGTTTTAAACTTACTGGGCACATCTACACATGCTATTAATGCAAATGAATAAACTCTGGTGCAGCTTGCACCAAGGTTTATTGTTCCTGGGTACCACTTTTACACCTGAGGCGTGAGCATTATGCGCTTGGTTTGAGCAGTCCTGGCTGGCAGAGGCCCCAGAGGGTCAAACTGCCAGCCCGGGGCTGTTCTGACCTGGCTCAATGTGCTGCGAAGGGGCTGGCTGAGGCATGAGGGTGCTCCAGTGTGGGACTGGTTGGCAGGCAGCCCCAGTGCTGAAGCATTCTCATGCCCCAGCCAGCTATGTTAGCATCTACACATGCATTGTGGCACTCTAAATAATGTATTGCAGGACAGGACTTCTGTTTACAAGTGCTAACCTATAGTGGATTTAATTAGTTTCCAGTGGCCTAATAGGGCTGCATGTGTAGACACTGAGACTTTTCTGCAGTGCTAACTAGACAACTCCACAGTAAATGGCTCATGTAGATGTGCCCACTGCCTACCAGTTTTATTTTGTGACTCCTAGTTCTTCTGTTGTGATCCCTAATTACTTTTTCTTCATCATTTAGTATTTTGTAAACTCTTACCATATCCCCACAAGCATCTCTTTTCTAAACTGAATAGGCATAGCCTCTTCAGTCCCTCCTCATATAGAAGTCCCTCCAAACCACTAATCATCCTTGTTGCCCTTTATCTTCTCTAGTCCTTCTACATCCTTTTTGAGGTGTGGGGACTAGAACTGGGCACAGTATTCAAAGTGTGGACACACCATAGTTTTATAAAAGGGGCATAGTGATATTTCCTGCTTTGTTCACAATTCCCTTAATAATACCAACACTTTTTTTGCCTTCTTGATAGCTGCGGAGCACTGAGCTGATGTTTTTAGTGAACTATCCATAATGACTCCCAGATCTCTTTCCTGTGTAGTAACAGCTAATGTAGTATAGGTATAGTTTGAGTTATTTTTGCCCATGCACATCACTTTACACTTTCCAAAATAATATAATTTTCCTTGCATCCTTATATTTATTTACACCTTTTGATGTTATTGGCCATCATTTTGGCCCTCTGTGCTTTATATATATAGGAAATGAAACATGATTTCACTTGCATAAAAAATAAAAACTTCCTGACGATCACATGTTTTAACACACAGCACATGCGTATGAATGTGATACAATAAACTCTGGAACTTATTGCACTTGAGTTTATTGTTTCCAGGTGCTGTGTTTATACATGTGCCTGAGACTGCAGCGTGTTGAACAGGGTAAGAGCAGCCCTGGCTAGCAGGGGACCCACTGGGTCAGCCTGCCAGCCTAGGGCTGCTCCAACCTGGTTCAACATGCTGCGGAGGGGCTGGCTGGGGTACGAGGATACTTCAGTACAGGGTATCCAGCAGACATCCCATGCACTGAAGTACCCTTGTGCCCCAGCCAGCCTGCTCAGCATCTATATGTGTGCTGCTGTGCATGAAAAAACTCTGCATCAGGATAGCATTTGTGTTTTTAAGTACTAACCTGCTGCGGAGTTTATTCATTTCCTGTGGCGTAATAAGCATGTAGATGCTGAGATGTTTACTGAGGAGCTAATTAGGCAGCTTTGCAGTAAATATCTTGTGTATGCGTGTCCACAGATTAAAACATATGTGGCATTCCTAGGCATAGGTGAGCATTGGTATTTGCTAGGCATAATGAGTATGTGAAGAAAAAGCAGTACTAAAAATATATAATTGTGAAAGCATATAACATACAGGATGAGCTAGAGCCAAGTGAAACTATTGACAAATGAGAAGAATGAAATACATGTGTCCTGTACTCTAACTTCAGTAACTAAGGATGAGTAGAATTCCACACACAATACAGTGAAAGAAAATGGCTAAAACAAGAAGAAAACCAGCTATATCTGGCTCCATTTATGCTGATACATATCTTAACACATATCTTATGCATATCATATCATACATATCTTAAAAGTATTTCTCCTGCAGGAGGAGGAAATCAGGTGTGTGAGAGAGAAGGAATCTTGCTTAGAATCATACTACTGTCTTTCTGATCAAGTGGAGTAAATTGCTAGCAGGCTTCCAGTAGGGTTCTTTTCCCTTTAGCTGGACTGAGAGCTACAAAGGCTAGGGAAGACATTACACATAAACGGTTTAAGCGATCAGAAACACGTTTAAACCTGTAACAGAACAGATGTTCAGTGCACATAAACCAGTTTGAAAATGGCTGAAACCAGTTTGAGATAAACCTGGTTGAATGTAGTAGTATCAAACTTAACTGATTTGGGTCAAAGGAGTTTATGCAACGTCTGTCCCAGACCCGTTGCTGGTATATATTAAACCAGACTCCCCCAGCATCCCGGCATGCTCTCTGGGCTAGGCAGGGCTCTCTGCTCCACAGCAGAGCTGGCCCCTCCCCTCTGCTCCCGGGCTGGGGCTTGGCAGAGACTGCAGGCATCTGCCTGGCTTCCCCCCGCCCCCATATCCCTTCTGACTTAGACACCTCTTGGCATTAGCTAGCAGACCACATGCTGGCTATGGTCTGTGTTGTGGCAGACGGAATAAAGGCAGAATCAACAGGTAGCTGGCAATGTCCTTCAGTTGTTTTCTTAATGGGTTGATAAACACTGAATTAGGGGTGATAAACACTGTGTTATCAATTCCTTGCTGGTCTGATCAGGAGGGGGAAAACCCTCCTTAATCTCAGTGTCCTGCCAGGGTCTATGGAAGGGAAGGGATCCCCTTGGCTTCTAGCTTGAGCCACTGTAGGCATGTGCCTGCATTTTGTCAGTCCAGAGGGAATGTCTGTATTGTTACAAACTGGTTTAGCCTAGCCAGATTTTTTTTTTCCAGACCAGAGCATTGATGCAAGTTGGTTTTATTTTGTTTTGCTGAATTGCCTATAACAACCCCCCCCCCTTATTTTGAATATGATGTGTCCTTGAGCTTTTCTGCAAAGAAACAAACAAAAATATGCTTGAAAATAAGTATAAAAATGTAATAAGTGCCTGAGATGGACTGCAACCTGCTGGCCCAGATGTAAAGCACTGTGAAAAAGTCTGTTAGTGATAAGTAAAACAAATTAGCTTATAAGAAGTTTGAATAGAGTAGCAACAATTTTCTTCTAGCATTGCTAATACTACCTATAACCTCAACTTCATATTTTAGCATATTTTAAGAACTGATGACAGCTGTCAGCTGTTAATGCATGAACATTATAAGCTTTATAAATGAGGGGAAAAAATTCATGAAATAATTATTTTTTGTATGTGGAACAGACTCAGTGCTTGTTAGATGTAAGTTTCCTGAGTTGCTTTATCCTGTGAAATAGTATCTCTTATGTCAATTGGAGCCAACCTTTTTAGCAGACATGCCACAAATTAAATCCCCTTCTCTCTCTGAGTGCCTCCCAATTCCTTTCCCCTCCCCAATCAGCTGCTCTACTTTCAACTCCACGGATTACCTTCCATGTGCCTCACACAGGGGCTGCCCATGCCATCTATGGTACTTGTTTCTGCAGGTGGATTGCCCTGTTTTCATGTTTTATCTGTACTGAGCCTGAGTTGAAATTGTCAAACATAGGCTTATTTCAACAAGTCTTCAAGAAACCAAAGAAATGGCAACATCTGGATCTAAGAGTGGTGTGGATAATTCAAATAACCTTGAACAAAATCTGGGGCAGGGCCATTCCTTACTCTGGATAAACTTAGGAGAATGTAGAAAAGAAGCATTTCTGGTTTTGCCCACAATCCCATGTTTTTCCAGAAATTCACCAGAGGACAGGGCCATTTTGCAGTGCATAGAAGTTGTGGTGATGGTTCCAAGCTGACCTGAGCTACCATTACATGTATACTGGGAACTTTCCATCTCTTTAAGGATTAGAAGTGCTTTGATACTTGAATGAAATAGACTGTTTTTTCATTGACCACAATAGATATCAGTATTTTAAATATTCTGATTATGCAATTTTAGATTTAACAACTGTTGTGGTTTCTAATCTTTCACTTTCTTTCTTTATAGTGATGAAGCAACTGTTATCTCAGGAGCTAAGCTTGCTAAACAAGTCCATAAGGAAGTTCGAAGGGATGTAGAATCATGGATAGCCCTGGGGAACAAGAGACCTCATCTCACTGTCATTTTAGTAGGAGACAACCCAGCCAGTCATACATACGTAAGAAACAAGATAAAAGCTGCTGCATATGTCGGTATGTGTGTATCTGAACAGTACAGTAGTATTTTGATATTAAGCACAAGATGTTATCCTGTTAAAATATATAGTACAACATCTTAGCTTCATATTGCATAATTTGCTCCTTCAACATGTATGACTGCTGTAAAATGTAGAAGTATATTATGCTGCAAAAATCAGTCAAAATGCAAACAAAGTAAATTTTTCATATTATATGAATATTAGGGACAAGTGTAGCTTTGGCATTCAAAGAATAAATCTTTGTTATGTAAAAAAAAAAAAAAATTAGAAAAAAAACACTTTGTTTCCTCAGAGATTAGTATATAAGGGGCCAACACAAACTGAAATGCTTATGGCTTCTCAACTTTGTATAGGAAGATTTCTGGCAGTCCAATATTTGCATGCCTTGAAAAGGTCAGATGAATACAGGCAGACAAATGGAAGTTATTTCAGTTTTCAGTTACTATTAATCCTTGCAAGCCATTCTAGGATTTATTTATTTTTCACTGTCACGGAGTGGGCCCTAGGAGCGGCCGTGATCCCGCTAGCGCCCCCTGCCGTGCCAAATTAGGAGATCCAGCACCCTCTGATTCTCACCCGCCACATCTTTGATGATATATGATTTAATATGGGAGGCTGCCTTTGGTCTCCTAGTCCTGGATGTTATAATTGTCCGGGCTCCTACTCTCTACGGGTGACCTGGTGCACCCCCAGCCTTATGGGCTATGCGTGCCTCCTACCTCCCCTTTAGCACGCCCCAAGCCTCGCAGCTATTCCAGACGTTGTCTGGTCACTTGTGCCTTGCCTGGCACCTTGGGCTTGTCACACAACCCACGCCCTTCCTCGGGCGCCCCTGGGCTTGTCACGCAACTGACGCCCCTTGCTCTAGCGCCCCTGTGTTCGCTAGCCCTCACCCCTCTCTGGGGCCTACTCCTGTGTTCGCCCTTTTATGGGCTCTATTGCACGCGTCGGCCCGCCTCGGGCCTCCACCCGTGCGCTCGCCCTACTCCAGGCTTTTAATCGCGCTTCTCGCGCCCTCGCCCTTCTCTGGGGCCTATGTCGGCGCCTTCCGCGCTATCGCCCTCGCTGGGCTCTACGTCGGCGCCTTCCACGCTATCGACCTCGCTGGGCTCTGTCCCACGCCAAACCGCGCTCGGGGCTTAGGTGGCCGGTATTCGTGCCTGGCC